AACAAACAAAAAATTCCAGGGCCCTTCATATCTTGGATTAAAAGACTTAAAAAACACAGAAGTGTCTGCCCTAAGGGGAGAGGGATCTGACTGTCTTGCCTCCTATATAAACAATCACTAAAAATAGCTAAAGCAAAAAGTAAATAGATAAACTTCCTTTATGTCAGTTAGCTTTGCCTTAGGGAGACTGGATACCCTGAATACCTTTTAACAGGTCTAGAGGTTGTAGCCTAAAAAAATTCCAAAAAACCCAAAAATAATAGTCAAATAAATTTCCTAGAAAAGGCACATAAGGCACATAAGAAGTTCAGGCAAGTCTTTGAAGAGCAGGAGTCCTGAATTGTCCTGTCCCTTTCTTTCTACCAAATCTTAGCTTATGCCTCTGCTCTGAGCAAACGAGATCTGTGAACAACCTTGTGTTTCACAGGAATTGCTTTCACTGCTATACTGCAACTTCAGTAAACCACATTAGTTTTACCTATGTGTTTTAAAATTAGTCTTTAGGAGTGATTAAAACTTTTTTCCCCCAAAATTACAGATGCCTTTTAAGTATTAGCTGTACTTTATTTCCTTTTATTCATTTAATATCCTGTTTAGGCTGTCTCATTTGTGTTTAACAAGGGCTTATTTTTCTTTTATTTCAGAATAAAAACCCCAACTATTAGATTCTAATATAAATCATCTGAAATTCTGAAATGGTATTAACATCCTCTAGAAAGAGTGCTCTGGACTTTCTGTGCTTGGAAGGAATTTTCTCAAGTGTTGCCAGGTAATTACTTTCTCCAGTTGGTATCAATATTCTTATATTAATAACTAGTTGTATTATCAAATGACCTCTATATATTTTTCATAAATCATGTAATTATTAATCTACAAAAGTATTAAGAAATTATTACATGAAGGTTATATAAAGATACAGAGCATTTACAACATGTCTTAAAAGGCACTTGTCATCTTAGCCATAAAGAAGAGCCAAAATTTATTATAGTGAGAGTAATAATGAGTCAAATAAAAGCTAAGCAATGCTTTTACTATGTTCTTTTATTGAAAATACTTTTCTATGAATCATAGGTCTTCATTTGTGAAAGGAATAGAAGCAAGTTCATTTTGTAACAACATTTACAGATCCAATGAGAATCTCAATATCACTATGTTCACATGTTCCTCAGAAGAATACCCTTACATTGTTCTACACAAAAGATATTTTAAAATCAATCTCAACCTGATTTTTACAGCCAAAAATAATTCCAATATTCCAATTCAATTCTCCTAAATGGTCCAGTTTCTGAGAAAATGTTCTTTATTAAATGGCTTTAGAGTTTTTGAGTATTTATGATTTGCAATTACAGAAAACTCAAATAATCAATATTTATTCTTCATTAGAACATAACATTAAGAATTAAAGGAACAGGTAAATTATGAAAATCCACATTTTGAGCTCTTTATAAACTATATGGTATTTTATGATCTTGAATTATACCTTCTAGACATTGTTTTAGCTATATACTGGGACTCCAGAAACCTATTGCCATGTTCTAAACCAGTAAAGTGATAATATGAACAGCTGAAACAAAAATCTACACTACTATACTGGACTTTAATTTCCAGATAGTCAGAATATCCAGGTCTATCTCCCTTCAACATTAAAAAGACTTAGAGAAGATTGCAATTGCCTAATTATACAATAAATACTATTAATTATATTAAAAATCCATTCTCATACTTCAAAATATCTCTGGGCTATTTTTATACTTCAAAATAGTTCTGTGCTGTGAAATTTTGAATATCTTCAGAAAATCTAAAGAAGGTACTGAAACTCCAGTACCTTTCTGTGTCACTTTGTTCAGTACCTCACCAATCTCACAATGAGAAACATGTTTCATATGTATAAGTACAAACTCGTCGTCTTGTTCTGTGGTGACTGTGATTATTTATTTCACTGTACCTGTCTGAAAAGCCTGATCACAACTCTTCCTTAGCTCCTAAGTACTGGAGGAAAACTCCAGCTGTTACTACAAATATTTTTTTCCAGGCTAAATCCCTGTCTAGAATCAAGTAGCCCAAAACTGAACAAGGTATACCTGGTGTAGCATAAAGAAACCCAAGTAAAAGGGAATATTCATGGCACTTAACCTCTAGCTACTGAAGTTCTAATACAGCTCAATTGCTGTTAGGATTCCTCCACCCCAAAGGAGCATGGCTGATTCATTTGTGAGATGCTATTCTACGTTTTATACCTTCATCCACAAAAAAAAGTCCCAGCTGCAGCAGTCTGTGGGATAAAGGGAGCAGAAGAGAGTGCTTACACAGATTACTAAGCTCAAAGGTTAGTGCATGCTTCAAATCCCCTTGGAATGGGACTATATTTAAACATTGATGTATGTGTCTTCCTGAGCAGGCATCCCCAGTTGACAATATTTGAGGCAGGTTCAATTAAATATTAACATACCTGACCCTTCATTCAAAGGAATTGAGCATATTTCCACTTGTTACACTGGGAAAATATTCTGGGAGTACTCTTCTATTCTCAGGTCTATCTGAGTAACTGTGGGACTGGAGCCAAGTGGCACTGCCACCAAATAAAGCTCTATCCTGCATTTGCTGCTCAATCCTGATGGTTTACCCAAATGCAATCCCATTAAAATCTTTGTGCAGAAGGAAGCTCAGCGTCATCATTTCCCTAAATGACACTTAATACATTTCAAAGCAATTCTTGCAGTATTTGCAGTCATAGGATACAATTTTCTCTTCTAGATTTTTCAGCAAGGGTTCAATTGAAATTTTAATTTATTTTATAAATCTGTTGAATCAGCAAAAATTACTCAAATTGACATTTTGTTATTCACTTTATAACTTTTTCCAGAGCATACGATATTCCACTTTTCTTCTGTTTGTTGATCATTGCCTAATATGTTAGGTCACAGGATAGTTTTTTTTAGTTCTTGGGTCTTAAATTTTAACATGCAATGCTGACCTTTTTGCTTAGTTGCTCTTTCTTAAAGCACATTTTGTGGGAAAAATTTACAAACTTCCTTTCATAGCACCTAAAAATAATGAGATTTTTCCTGTTATATTTTTTTTAATAGTGCAGCACACTCACCTCCTGCCAGGCAGCTTATACAAATTACTACAAACATAAAGGTAAATGTTATTTTAACACTTGTTTTGGACTCCAACATAGAAATATATTACATATTTTATTAGCTCATTTACCACCTACTAAGTTATATTATTAGCTAATTCACTGAACATGATATGTGTTCGGTAGATTTTGTTACTACTTTAAAGGGACTCTTCTCTGAGTCTGGTCTGTGCTTTTCTGAATACACAGAATTTGCTGTTTGTGTGTTTATAACTGAAAAATAAACCTGAGAGATGTAGGAAGGCATAAAATTAAAGGGTAGGATCTGCCTCTGTCTCACACACCATACCTTATTATTATAATAAGTAATTGATTTCTCATTGCCTTTGTTCAATAGCTCTGATTCACAGCTCATTAAGGTTAATGAAAGAAAAAGGCTCATGAGTGAAACCTGAACTTCATTTAAGTACTTGTTAACACTTACAGTGACTGTAGGGTTGGGAATTTGGTAAATGTCGAAGTGGCAGAATCTCAGACAAATCTCTTTGGTCTTGAATTTTGGTGGGACACATAATCCGAAATTCCCAAGTTCTATTGAAAATCCTCATCATGAAAGAGATAACAACTAAGAGTTTTAATAGCCTAATCCTACTGAGCATTATTAGAGCCTTGTGTTTGTATAAGCCTGCTACAGTTCAGGTTGTCAGCAATAAATGAGTCATGCATAGAGATTTTAGGGATTGTCACCTTTGAAAGCTGGTTCTGTCTTAAAAAATAACTCATTCTATGAATGTACTACATATATGTCATCTGAAAATAATTTGGGGTGGGGTTTTTTTGCTGTATCTTAGAGAAAGATTTTTTTCTTATAATTTGACATAGCTTTTCTCATAATTTGTAGAAAATATGTTTTTAATAGCACTGTAGTCCAACATATCCAACACTTCATGGCTCTAACCAGACTTTAGAAACCTCCTGAGGATCTTAATACTTTTAAAAATGTGCAACAAAAAGCCATGGTGACTGGAGTGAGAATAGAAAATGGGAAGCGTTAGGGTAGGAAAGAACAAAAAACATATCAGAGAGAGATGTCCCAACAGCCACCATCCAGCAGGATTCTGCAGTTTTACAGCAAGAGGTAAAGACAATCCCATGCCACAAAGGGGAGAGAGCTTAATGAATGACACCAGGTCAAAATTAATAGAAAAAAAAAAAGTCCGAAAAAATTGAAAGTAGAAGGCTGAGGAGACACACTGTGGCCAAAGTCCCATAGCATCTAGAAAGAAGGCAATTTGTTAATAAAGTGGAATGAGAGGAAGATATGGTAAGTAAAAATCATTGATGAACTAATATAAAAAAGAGGGATCATACCTCTGAATACATGATGTCTCTTACACTAGACAAAACTAAAGAATGAAGAAATAAAAGAATGGGAATCACATTTAGATCAGAGACAGAAGGAAAGAAATTTGCAAACAGAAAAATAAAAGTAGGAAATACAAGAATGGACTAAGGAGCAATAGGAGAAATCCACCAACATTCCTGCCCCTCACCTCGCATCCCAACCCTGTGGTACTGAGACATAAGAAAAGTGAAAACTGAGAAAAGCAAATAATTCTTATCTGTGATTCTGTCTCTCCTATCTGAGCTTCGTCCCATATGGAGGACTGAAACTAGACTTAAGAACTCCAGATAAACTCCTGTGTGACACAGCAGCATCCTTTTCTATTTCAAAACACAGAGAACCAGTACTTTAGAATTTTCAACTCTCCTATGAATTTAGTAAAGGGTCGGAGAAAAGCAGAGGTCCTTTGGAGATTATTTTTCTCTAATAGCAAGGCTAATCAATACTCATGGAAAATAAGGAAAACAGAAGAACAAAAGTCAAGAAGATAACTCAGTCCTAGAGTTCACCCACCTATACTTGAAGGGTGGCCAGGTGTAGTCCATGGAATAAAATCTGCTTCCAAAGCTGTCTTCTAGTATGGTTGACAGCCTCCAGTTTCTCAGAATAATGCTTCTATCATGACTATCCTGCATAGTAAAATATAAAACATCAACATAACAGGGGGAGACACTCAGGAGTTTTATCTGCAAGCTGGACTCTTGTATTTCCAATACCGCCCCAAGAAACTAAAGGTTTGCCAGCTATGTTCCTCTAAATTTCTCATTAGAGGGGTTTTGAGCCTTCAGTATAGGCTGTGGCTATGGAGAAACCCAAATTCTTCATGGTGGGTTTTCAACAAACTCACTTGGAACTATGCAAGAGAGCTGGATTAACCTTTCCCTAATTAGCAGCCTATTTTTAATATTAGTTGCAGTAATAGCATTGTACTAATAGCCATTATATAGGACCAACCTGATGTTTACTCAGCTGTTTTTTGTTCATCTAACAAACTTCCACACTTAGCACTGACCATTTTTTTGACAGAACTGGGTCAGGGATAGGGTCTGAGAGAGCCAATGGGTGTACTTCAAAGCTTTCTTCATGCAAAAAGAATTAATTCCTGCATTTCTCTAGAATTTACCCATTTGTTTTGTGGAACACAGCAGAATGTATTAGTGTGACCCGTTATGCTATCAGTGCCAAGAAAGCTTTACTTTTCTGTTTGGCTCTCTTGGCATGCAATCAAGGCCAATTGCCTTTTTGCCTCATAGCTTTTTCTACAGAGATGAAAGTGAAGCCTTACTGACACACACAGGATGGCAGTGTGATCACTGAAACAGCTTCAATCTATTGGTACAGGCATGATTAAGCTTCTCTCTTGTCATTTCCCTTAATGCATGCCAATTTGGCCTTGTCAGTCATTTTATTGAGTTTGACAGGAGCTTTCATCCAAAGAGCATCTCCAGGAGCAATCAAAAAGCACTATGAGTAGGGCTGGACTGGAAGTACTTTTCCTGTACTGAGCACTCTTTTTGTTCAATTAAAAAAAAAATAAGCATTCCCCATTACTGAGTTTTAAATTTTAGAAGAGATCAGCACATCCAAAGTAGAGTAAAAATAAAAAATAAATAATAAAAAAGGCAATATCTGAGCTAGCCTCCTAGTCTTAAAAAGAAACATAGATTTCCTTTAACTTCCAGGCGAAAAAAGAATATTATTGGGGTTTTTTGGGCAACAAGTTTATCAGAAGCATTCATCTTGCTTCTGCAACAGCCAATCCCTGATCTTTCTCTGCAGTGCAGCACTATATGTCTTTGAAGTATTTTTTCCATATTGTTAACTGATCTTCAGTGCATTCTGCTGGATATCACTTTGATAAAGATATAACTTGATTGCTGTACCGTCAGGCAAATCTGTCTTTAGGTCTGTCCCTTCATTCCTCTTCATCAAAGCTTTATGTATAGAGGGGAAAGTAAAAGCAGGAAAAACCACCAAAAAGACAGTTAAAAATGAGAGTGTTTTTCGGGTCAGTTTTTCTGATGGTTAACATTGCATAGCCAGTTTGCAAAAAAATGGTCTTTTTGCTGTTCTTTTTCAAAGGGCTTAAATTAACTGCAAGACACTACAATTTATTTTTTTCATTCATCCAAATGCTTTCCTTCTATGAAGGAAATTTTTGAAGAGTCCAGGTTATCGAGTATCAGGAAATCCTGACTTACATCCCTATTAGATGGAAAATGCCTTTAATGCTCTTTCTTAAAAATTAATTTTTAATTTAATTCCAGTAGAATGAACAAAGGTTGTGAAAAATATTAAGATTTTTTCATATTGAGAATATCATACTGCCATATGTATTCTCTTTCCTTTTTTCTGTACTTAAAAAAAATGGAAAATTATTGAAAGGACAAGTATCACAGCTGAAGCTGATCTTTGTCTCCTAATGCTTACTGGGGACACAGGCTGAAGACTTGAAGAGGCATTCAACTGTCTGAACCTGTTTCACTGCACAAGACAACTGAAGATATATTTCAGGGTTAATGACTTCCTCTGTTTGAAAGGGAGAGAAAAACAACTCATGGATCAGAAAGTGACCCCTTCAGGGAATAAAACAGGTTGGAGAGTAGATATGTTTTCTGTTTCTTTTTACATCTTCCAGGGTAAATCTTAAGCAACTCTGAATCTAGCCTTTACAAGTCACCCCTGGGATTCTGAATGAAATACAGAGGGCAATGAATAGATAGCTGAGATGAAGAATTAGTCATAACTGAGCCAGTTGTGCAAGAAGAGAAAGTAGTTGAAGTAAAATGAATATTTTTCTTGCAGGATATGAAACGTTTACTCATAATGAGCATAGATTTACTTAGTCTGCTAATCCCTGTGACATTCTTGGTAATAAATAAGGCTGAAAATGCTTATGACATGTCCTCCCTTTTGTGTTTATGGATATGCAGGCATGTCATGCTTACTATGCTTGCAAAGCAACTAAAATGCTGAAAGCACAGGAGGGATTCTTCCTGTTTTTAACTTATAGAGGAAGATAATATAACAAGCTTGATTTGGAAAGGAGCCTGAAGTTTTTAATCTTTTGCTCAGTGTCACACGTATGGCTAAGAAGATAACTTTGAATGTCTGAAACTTTTCATTATATTTCATTATGACTATAGTAATACATAGGACAATTTCTTGGCTGGTTTTTTTTATAAACTGACAAGCCAGTCCAACACCCCAGAGCAAGTACTGATGCGCCTTCCAAAACTGAATGGCAGATGCTGTACTTAACTTTGTTTCTTGTTCTTAAAAGTAGGCTTTGCCAGCTAAGCTTTCTAATAGGAAAAGATAAACAATATTATTTTGGCTGGTACTATATGTCAGTTATAGATCAACTGTGCTATTTTCTCCTTCCTGAGTTAAGTATTTTTGCGATTCTCCTACATCTTTAATAAGTCCCAACTACATGAAAACATATTTAAATAGATTCAAGTATTTGTGAGTCTAAAACTCACATGGTCAATGTAAAACAAAGTATTATTTACAGTTCAATGGAAACAGAATACCCAGAAGAAAAAAAGAATTGCAAACAAGTAATGTAAACATCGCCTTCCATTCCCAGTGATTACCTAAGCAAGAATAGATAAGGTTTTTCTTGTCAATGTTGCAAGGCATCTACAGAGTAGATGATTTAAGCACAGTACTACTGCTGGAAAAAAAGATAAGAAAGCATCTGCACTGGTTTGACAAAGAGCCAGCTGGGGTCCAAAGGATTACAACTGTACTCAAACAGAAAAGCAGACACTCTTGTAGAATCCTCCCAGCAGTTCATAAACATGTGGCTACTGCATGCAGCCATGATTAAACCATTCTCTGCCCCTGAGCTGTCACATCTGGAAGGTAACACACACTTCTGTGCTTTACACATTGCAAATATCTGCAGCAATGGCTCACTTCTTTGGAGAGCATCCTCCCATTCAAATTCACAAGAGTTCCTTTGATGCTCCATAGGACTGTTATTTATTTATTTGACTTGTCTCTTGCCAAATCTCCAGCACCCCTGATGGATTTTCCATAAACTAAACCCATTCTTGCAGGTAACAGGCATTGCAGAGATAGCCCCCATTATATCACTACAAGGTGGCTCCAGGTCTCCTCACTCCCTGCTGCTGCAGCTCTCTATCTCTGCAAGAGATAACCTCAGGGGACTCACAGCATTTGCCATAACTCAGAAACAGAGCTGGGCACCCATAGATGGAAATAGATGGTAGAAGAGCCTTATCTGACGGTTTCTGACATCTGCCAACATTGCACACAGCAAGGTCTTTTTTTTTTTTTTTCCCTGAGACACCATTATTAATGAAGAAAACTGTAAATCTCTCATTTCTGCCTTCAAAGAAATATCAAGAGTCAAGTCTACAAATTAAAAGTCTCTTCCACTGAAGTAGCACTGCTAGCACAGTTTAAACTAGGCTATGGCTGGTAGAGAAGAAAATGTGCACATCTATTTATTCTGTCATCTAGATACTTTTACAGTACCTGGTAGCCAATTCATTGAAAATACTAAAGGGATTGTAACAAAATAGTTGAATTAAGTTTTCAGGCAAACAAGGGGTCTTGTGAGGTCTTGGGGTCTATTTGGTTTTGATCAAATGTGCAAAGGTTTGGTTCTGTAATGGATGTGCAATAAAGCAGATATTGTCTGTAGCATACATTCAAGAGAGATTAATAGTCACATTAACCTTTTTAAAAATGATGAAATAGATGTATCTTTTTGTGATTGGTGTGACAGAGCAATAAAAGCATAGTAAAACAGAACATCATCCATGTCTGCTGACCATCAAATAAACAAGTAAAATACTCAAAGATTTACATCATGAAAACATGCATATAATATTTGACATGTCATCTAAGCAATTGAGAGGCACAATTAGAGAGGTGATAATAAGATGTTCTGAAAAGTGTTTGAAAAGTGTTCCAAAACTAATTTCAGCATCAGAAACACTGGGGCCATTAGCTTTAATAAAATGCATAGACACATCCAAATCAATCTCTTGGAAGGTACTAAACTAAGAAGCATTTTTCACCATGTTAGGAATGGCCTTTTATGTTTGGCACTATCTACATAAAGTCAAAGTAAGCTATAGTGTGAAAGAAACTGACCAGAAATAAAAATAAAACCTGCTACATTCATGAATATTTTTGCAACTGTCATAGAAGTCAATACTTACCTGTAGTGTTGATTTTATGATCTTTAAAAACTGGCCTCTTCTTAAGGTAAATATTAATATGGCCAGCTTGAAGATACTATTTTCTTTTTGATGTAAGGAACCTTAGAAAAACAGAAAATTCATCAAATACTGTTCATAAATCAATTTCTTGGAAAAAATCATGCCAGCACAATATCTAAAACTCATAAAAATCACCTTATGAATATCACTGTCAAAACCAAATGCTTAGAAAAGGTGAAATCAGAAATGGCACTTCAGCTGTGTGTACATTGCTACCTACCATGAATAATGTCTCTGTCAGACAGACACTAAAACAATCTGGTCAGGAGAGCAGCTGCCTGGTCTGTGCACCTTCACCTGTTTCACCGATGCTCTTACTTGGACTCATTTCCACTGGACTGGACTGTCAATCAAAGGAACTCAAACTTATAAAGAAATCTCGTCACAGCTGAATTCTTATAGACTGCAAAGAATGGACCAACTTTGAAACGAAAGGTCTGAAAGGCCACAAGAATGGAAATTACGTGCTGTGCCTGGAGGGGTTTCACTGAAATTTTGGTGACTGAAGGTCAAACTTCTGGTTGGGGGTAGTTGTCTTGGCTCTTCTATAGAAAATAAAAGACACAATGACCTGGAAAATGTGATTCCCCACTTTGTGAGTGTTGACTTAGCCTTTTGCATCATGTCCAGTCCTAACTGTCAATTAAGAGGAATGCATGTGAAGGACAGTCGTCAATTTGGGGAATTAAAGGAACAAAAATTAATATCTGTTTATAAAAGTAGCTACAGTGAATGAAGAGGAGAGAGAAAATGTAACAAAAGGTTCATGAGTTGAGATTAGGATCAGGAGAAATAACTCACTAACTACTATCATTGGTAAAACAGACTCAGCTTGGAGATATTAATTGAATTTATTACTAACAAAGCCAGAGCAGAATAATGAGAAGCTACCTAAGACCTCAAAAACACCTTTCCCTCTTCCCTCTCTCATTCCCAGCTCCTAAAGGCAAAATGAAAACCAGATCACCAAAACCAATATTTACATAGCAATGTATATGGATTGAAACAAAACTGATTTTTCTTTGTAACTTTATAACAGTGCTGCTACACTGGAGTGTTAAAACAATGAGTAAAAAATTTTTGTCACTATTTCTTGCAGAATTACACACTGAGTAGCAGTCTATGTGTAAAAGATCAGCACTGCATTTCAGTACCTCTCTGTTGAAATTAAATCTCACCAAAAGGACCTTGCAGGAGGTGGTGAAAACAAGAAATAGACTGAGTATCTGTAGAGAATTGCATGAGATATTCCCAACAAAAGGGCTATTTTCCACAGTGCTTGCATCTGTTTTGTGCTCTACAAAATCTCTTTGAAAGTTTCCAAAAGTTTCAACATATTTTTTTACATATTTTAAAAAGTAGTCTAAAGTGTCTTCTTTCTTATGTCCTTTTGGGATAAAAACAAACTGCTATTTACGCATAAAAAACTTTAGAAACTCCATCACAAACTTGCAGTATCACATAAGTATGTCTAAGTCAACATTTTATAGCATCAGGGACTACCTATGGCTCCGTTCTGCTGATGCTGTTGTCACTAAAATGTGCATTCTTGAAGCTAAGTCAGCAGAAAGATAGACCAGAGTGGAACATACCTTTTTCTATGAGCATCACAGGTAAAAAGGAAAGAATTGCTCATGTGAAATATTGCATTTAAATCCACTGTAAACATTTCCTAGCTCTTGGAAATAATTAATATATATATTTGTATATGTATATTCCTTAAAAAGCTATAAAATAGCAATTTGATAACTGTCAAAACTATTATGCACATTATATGCTGGGAAAAAAATAAAGATGTACCATATTTTATGATTTATTTTATGTTACCAGATTACTTTTAAATTTTTAAAATTATAATTTCTTTAAATTAAATAATTTCACAAATTTTAAATCTCTTCCATTGGACAATGCCTGTTGCTAACTCATTTCATCTGGATGTTTAACATGCAATAACCACTCATTCTCTTAGCAATTATTCAGGTGGTTGAACTGCTAAAGTATTTCCTTAGAAGTATGGAAAGTAAGGAAGAAAATAATAACATGAAAAGAGTAGGGTCAACAAAAATCATAAGAAATTTAGGAAAGCCTTGCTAGAGGAAGAGATGAAAAACCCAAATGCAGAATGGTTTTGCCTCAAGCAGCATCCTTGGCAGGTATGTCATGCATGTAGGAAACGGGGAGTCTGACAAAACCTGTCCTGAAAGCAGCACAGGATAATTTCAGTACACGTGGACTTCAGAAGAGGATGCATGTTCTTGGAGCATCCAGTTAACTATCTTTTTGTCACAGCTGAATGATAACTTGATATCATTCTGTGAACAAAGGCACTGTATCTTCCCACTAAGACCTTTTAACTGATATTGATATTTCAAAGTCTTCTGAAAGCGTTTATGGCTACCTGAAGCATACACCTGCTGTCTAATCCCATAGTTTACATTATAGGCAGCACTTAATTATCTAAAACACATCAGGGAGGGAATTTAGCTACTGCATAAAATATTAATTAAGGATTTCTTCTCACACCAAGCACAATTTACCAGAAAAGGAAAGTCTTTCTGTTCCTCTGTCCCAAATCCCGGGAATTTGTACATTTCACTTTGAATGTGAAGGAAGTCACAGGAGGATGGGACTTGTAATATGGCAGATGAACATTTTGTCTCAAAAAGGGCACAGAAAAGATAACAACCACCACAGACACACTCACATAAACCCCTGTCAAATGTGTATTTTTAATTAGTGGGTTGACCCTGGCTGGACACCAGGCACCCACCAAAACCTCTCAGTCACTTGCCTCTGCAACTGCAGGGAAGAGAAAATGTAACGGAGGGTTCATGAGGTGAGCTAAGAAGAGTTCATTGCCTAAATACCTTCACAGGCAGAACAGCTTCAAATTGGGGATATTCATGGAACTTATTACAAACAAAATGAGAGCAGGATAATGAAAAGTAAAATACACCTTAAAAACACCTTCTCCCCAGTCCTCCCTCCTTCCCAGTCTCTAAGTCCTTTCCCCCACAGAGCAAGGAGACAGGTAATGGAGGTTGTCAGTTCCACATAGGTTCACCTTCCTCCATGTGGGGTGCCTTCTATAGGAGACAGTTCTCCAAGAATTTCTCCAGTGCGAGTCCATCCCATGGGCAACAGTTCACAAACTGCTCCAGTGGGGGTCACTCTTCAATGAGGTGCAGTCCTTCAGGCACAAACTGCTCTTGGGTGGGTTCCCCAAAGGGTCACAAATCCTACCAGGAAACCTGTCCCATCATGGGCTCCTCTCTCTATGGGTCTGCAGGTCCCTGCCAGAAGCCTGCTCCAGCAGGGGCCTCCCACAGGATCACAGCCTTGTCTCAGGCCTCCACCTGCTCTACCATGGGGCTCCTCTAGGTACTGCAGGTGGATATCTGGATCCCTGTGTCCTTCCACGGGTTGTAGAGGCACAGCTGCTTCATCATGCTTTTCACCAAGGGCTGCAGAGGAACTTCAGCTGTGGTGCCTGGAGCACCTCCTGCCCCACCTTCTCCTCTGACCATGGTGTCTGCACAGTTGCTCCTCTCATACATTTCCATCCCACTCATCTTTGGCCACAATTATATCTGTGCAATAACTTTTTTTTTTGTTTTTATCCTTGTTAAACGTTATCACAGAGGGATTTTCATCATTTCTAATTGGCCCAGCCTTGACCAGTGGCATGTCAGTTCTGGAGCTGGCTGGCACTGGCTCTGTTGGACATGGAGGAAGCTTCTGGCAGCTTCTCACATGAACTGTTGCCTGGAATCAAGAGACAAAACCTTTCAAAACAATATTAAGAATTATAAGATAAAAATCAGCTCTTTATATGCGTACATCGCTAAACTGTGAGAGAGGACAGGAAAAGTACTTGAAGCTATGTAACTATATATTAAAAATCTACAAAGCTACAAATCTGAAAAAGGCTAAACAACTTTAGGTATCAAAACCACCTCTGTAGCCCCTCTTCTACTAAAACCTGGCTCTACAACCCCAATACAACTTCCTTCAGCATTTATTATATTTGATAGTTACACGATTAATACTGTACATTATATGGTTACTGATCAATAAGATTACTTGGCTCTCTCAAGTAAGATCACTAAAGTGTAAAGAAAAAGTGCTGGAAACATTCATCCTGCTTTAACCCCTCTGGGCACTGTCCACATTCATACTTAATGATGTTATAGAATGATTTGGCTTTGAAGTGACCCTCAAGATCATCAAGTTCCAAGCCTTCTGCCATGGGCAAGGACACCTTCCACTACACCAGGCTGTTCAGAGCCCCATCCTGCCTGGCCTTGAACAAAGTCAGGGATGCGGTAACCACAGATTCTCTCAACAATCAACCTCACCATCCTCACAGTAAAGAGTTTCTTATTATCTAATCTAAACCTACTGTCTTTCAGTTTGATGCCATTGCCCCTTGTTCTTTCACAATCCATGCTACTACATGCCACTATTTACTATGTAAATAGTCTCTCTCCATCTTTCTCATAGACTCCTTTCAGGTACTGGAAGACTGCAATTAAGTCATCCCACAGCCTTCTCTTCTCCAGGTTGAACAATCCAAATTCTCTCAGCCTTTCCCCATAGAAGAGGTGCTCCAGCTCTTTGATCGTCTTGGTGGCCTCCTCTGGACTTGCTCCAACAGGTCCATGTCATTCCTGTCCTGGGGCCCCAGGGCTGGAGGCAGCTCTGCAGAGAGGCTCTCACCAGAGTGGAGCAGAGGGGCAGAATCTCTTCCCTTGACCTGCTGGCCACACTGCTTTGGATGCATCCAAGGATACAATTATGATTCTGCAATACAAGCGCGTGTTGCCAGCTCATGTCCAACTTCTTATCTACCCAAGTCCTTCTCCTCATAGCTGTTCTCATCAATATGAAGCCCTCTCAGTTGCAAGTGTGAGAATGTCCATGGGTATCACAGATTTTTCTGCACAACTTACAGTTGGTGGAGAGAGCAAAAGTCCCGGTGATTGAACAGAGCATTATCAATCCACATTATCACTCTTATTTAAAAATACACAAGAGCAGCTGGTTGATCATTCTTCTATCTTGAGCCAATGACTCAGTTTGTGAGTAATCTGTAGTACAAATGAATGAAACTGAGTGAGACTAAAAGAATTACAGGAAAAAATACAGAATGTGAAGAGAAAACTGCAAATAATGAACTTGGGGCCAAAGGAAAGGTGTCATTTGAAGAGAAAGAAGTTCTCAGAGTGCAAATATGCTGTATACAAATACCTAAGCTAAAGGAATCTTTTAACACAGAGCACAAAGAATTGTGGTGAATAGTTGAGAATGAATGTTTCTTCAAATCTCCAAGAAATAAGAAAAATGCTAGAAAAGCCAGTGAGTTTCAAGATCTGTGAGGCTATTGGACATTTCTGGGACATCTCCTGGTGTATTTGTATCATAGCCAGAGTTTGTTCCCTGGTGCCTGCACAATGAACTTTATCTCCCTGCTCTCTCCATGGTTTCCTAATCCTCTCATCTCATCCATAAGCTGGAACAGAAAGCATCGAGCACAAGATAATGCTATTATGAACATTTTAAGCTGCCACTTGTTTTTCCCACAGGATATCCCCAAAAATCTGCTCTCTTTTCCTCTATATATTTCCATTTTATAGCTTACTTTCCACTGCCAGGTGTTTGGGGATGCTTATGCCTTTGCTATCCCTGGAGCATACGGTGGATGTATTAATAGTGTATCAACTATTTTGATAAATATTTAGAAATATCATTAATTGGGCAGATTATATCACCAAAAAGGGTTTAGAGAAAGAGCTAGGAGTTGTGGGGACAGGTATAGAAGTAAAAATTTTCTAAGAACTTAAAGAATTTGGGAAGGTGAATGGATAGGATCTTTGAAACAAGCAGGGAAGGAGGACAAAGAAAGAGAACTCAACTATCAAGTAGTTGCAGAGCCAGGTATATTCTTATGAGTTCTACATATATTATTAGTCCAAATAATCCTGAATAACATGCAGAGTTATCAGTTTCAACAAAGATGTTAAATAATTATTGAGAGTTTTCTTCACAGAAAGCCAAAAAAAACACAATGTAAGAGAAATGGAGCTGACATTTACCACTGGTTCTGTATTAATAATTTTTTTTAAAAACTGCTAAGTGCATGAATGCATCTTTATATTTTTGAATAATGTTTCCTTTAAATAATTACCATCTATTTTTATGAGTTTCCCCATTCATTTCTTCTCTCTTTTTTTATATTAAGTAAGGTGTTTATAGATTAGCTGGGATTTTTTACTAAGTGTACTGCTCCCTCCTTGTCTGTAAAGTGAGATGAGAGCTTGATGTTTATGTGGTTAAACACGATTTGTGCTTCCTGCCTTTGAGGCACAGCCATAGATCATGCTGTGCTATTTATCTTGCTTACTCTAGCTTTTTGTGATGAATTATTAAAATATGCCTGAAAGCATGGAGCCATTTGGAAGAAGGGTCTTACTGGAGAGTAGAACAGATAAAAGCACTGGGATAAAACAAGCAACCCTGCCACCAGGAGATGCAAGCAATATTGCAGAGAAGAAAGAGACCATTTTATCGGTCAAATTCTCCTTACAGCCACACTAGTGAAACCTCAGCCAGTTCAGAGAATACAGCTGGTTGCTTGAATTCATCAGCTGCTTAAAAAACAGCATAGTGACTATCCAAAGGCGAAACCGTCACATGAAGCATGGGAATGTAGTTTACATTGTTAGTATACCTGCAGCAAGACTGAAATATGACTGTAACAAGAGACCGGTCCAGGAAAAAAACCTCCTTCTGTCTCTGAAGTCTTCATAGAGTTTCTTTTTCATCTAGGAGGGGTAAAGCAGTCAGGATTTTTCTCCCAGGGGAAGCACTTGAATGATCCTGTCATTGTGTTGAGTGAAAGTATGCCTGGCTTTTGAAATAATCAGGAAATAATTTCTTTGTCAAACATTGTTACTTCTAAGTTTTTAATTCTCCTTTCTATTATTCTTATTCTATTTCTATTCTCCTTTCTATTATTCTTATTTCTATTATTCTTACTCTATTTCAATAACTACCACTAATTTTGAAAAACTTAAAGCAATACATCAAAGTTTTGCAAGCAGTATGTCTCAGATTTTTAAACAAATCTTGGGTTAAAATGCTCAATTATTTTTAAGAAAAATAATCAAAAAATAAACATGTTTTTATGCCCTATTAAGCTCTTAGAGCCAATTCACCTGGAAGCCCTAAAGCCTGCAGAAGAACATGAAATGTAAGAGGATTTACAAGAAAAAAGGATCTGCGTTTTCCATATTTCCTCTATTATATAGCTATTAAAATGAAGTTTGCATATGCTGAAGTAACATAGGTCAGAATTTACTGAAAAGATTTACCTTCCCTGACTGTATTCCTGTGCTGTGCAGGACATGCACAACTATTTCATTCACCACAGTCATGGTACTCTAAGAAGAAGTTACTGTGTTCTCTTAAGGGAAGGGAGATGCTTTTTCTCCCCCGGGTTCTCCAAGTCACTTCTGAACTCCAGCTGCCAGGAGATAACTTGATGCCTATCCATAATTAAACATGCCTAGAGAGAAAGAACAGAGGCAGAGGCTAGAGCATGAAGAAGCAGACAACCAGATCATCAGACTGGGACAAGCTAGTCAGAATCAAGAAGTAGAAGACAGCTTGGGAAAAAAAAATAAAGGAAGAAAATAGAATGAATAAAGGCAGGGGAAAGAACTGAGGAAGTTACTTGGGTCTGTTGGGGTTTTTTTTTTTGATTGTTTGTTTGTTTTTTATCCCTAGTGATAGTTGACCATTACTATATTTTACATGAAAATTAGCTTTCAATAGGTCTGAGAACATGGGTATTTTTCCTGATTGAGCAATCAAGTGAGATGGACAGGAAGAAATCACTATCAAGATAAAAGAAGATTTTCCATGAAGTTGAAAAGGGAGTCCATTTACAGTTCAGATTCCCTTGGGATTAGGCAATAGCTCAGCAGGGTTTCCAGGACTACAGTTTTGGACTTAACTGTTTATGGGCTGTTCAAAAGGCTCTTGCAATATCTGCAAACTTCAGATAGCCCAACACACCTTTTCCATTCAACTTCTCCATAGATCTGATAAAATCAAGAAAGACATGAAATTCTGAGTGTGAGTCATACTATATCATGTAGAAATACAGGGAAGATAATAACAGGGCAGAATTCTCTCAAGAGAAAAGTTTAGAAAGCCTTCAAAGCCCAACAATACCATCAAAAAATAGCTACTTTTCAATAACTGAATGTGAATATGAAAAGAATTTTTGGTGGTAGTAACTCAACACTCATGTGAAATGCACCCAGATGTGCTGTAATACATGCAGTGTGTTACACTGATTTCCAGTCTAATGAATCATATATATTTCTCTTCTGTCAAAGGTAATAGGAAAACTGGAAAACTAATTCTGTATACATGGTGCTAATGCCTTACTACACAACCTTACATACTACAGATTTTAGACACAATGAGGCATCCACATTGAAATATTTAATCACCTTGTGAATGCCTGAAAGTTTTGCAAGTGTCTCTTTACAACACCAGCTTATGAGGAGTGCAGCTGGAGCTTGTTTGAAATGCAAAAATAAAGAAAAAATTACAGGAAAATGAAACACATGCAGATGTTAAAGAGACAATAACACCTTGGTCACAGTGTTGCTTTCAGAGTGTACATGGGAACTCAGAGGTGCTCTTGCTAAACTAATATGTTCTAAGAGAAATGTCCTGGAACCTAAAAAATGCATTGCAAATTTTGCAGTAAATTAAAGGCAAGTCAGTTAGCATAGACAGTTTAATTAGCTAAATTCTACAATTTGTAAATACAGACAAAAACCTAGGCATAATTTCTCGGTGAAGTTCACTGCAAAAGTATGAATAATAAAAGCTAAAGAATTAGATTCCCAAATTAATATATTGCATGCAAAGCTTCAGGTGTATACATATATGTAAATAATGCTGCTTCTATGCAGCTTCAAATATTTAAATATTCCTTGTTAGGATGTGTTTGCTGCCATTATTATATTCCTCAAAAATGTGCCTTGAATTTCAGCCTAAAACCTATTAACATTCTAAAGAAGTTGCAAACAGATCACATCTCCGAACAAGTATTAGTAACAGTAATAGTGCCCCACACCCTGACTCCACAGCAGTGTTTGTAGCAAGAGCATTTTTCAGAAAGCTTATGTAAAGTTGTGCAAATGCACAATCATTTTAATGATGGAGTCCTGAGGGGTTATCTTTACTAAGCTGGAAAATCATCAATAAGATGAAGAAATCTGTCAGCAGAATATCTACTTATTCAAAAACAATGCATCCATTTTTGATTTATTCAAGTCTGGTACTGCTCTTTTGCCTGAAGGAAATAGAGACAGAAGAAATGGGATGAAACAGAAGAAATGGGGTGCAGAAAAGAGGAGCAGGGAGGAAAAAAAGGATCCATGTGGATTGGAAAAAAAATTTAACATAAACTTTGCTAGTAGGCATTCTCTCCAAGGAGGACAACCTGAGATACAAGAAATGGTGTGTGTAAACAGGATCTCATAAGGAAATCAGGCCAGGCTTCCCAGCTAATGAAAGAAACTATTACAATTTTATCTCAAATATCCAGTTTAAACTTGATTCCTTTTCCTTTCACAATGGTGTTCTTACAGACATTTGTATCTAGGCTGTCTATGCTGGAAAATGCAAATGGACATTTTTTTGTTGCATTTTTCCTTAGCTCAAACCTAGATAATGTCAAGATTATGACTTTCCTTTTCCAAGCATATTGAGAGACTAAAAATAGCAGTCCCAGAGCCCAGTGGCACAGCTTTCTGACATAAAGGTCCAGCATATCAAAGAAGCCTACAATTTTTTTTTATAGAAAGTCTATTGGATTATATATTTTATCAAAGGGAGCAGGAAAGAAGTGGGGTCAGTCATTGTAACAAAAGTTTTCTGATATATAGTTAAATGTATGAACTCTGAAGGTACAAATAAAGTTTTGTGAAGTTTTCTGTTGAAAACAAACCTTTTCTGAATATTTTATGTGTTTATATTTATTGACAGATAACCTAGAGTTCCTGATTTATGTTGTGTTTGTCAAAGTAAGGACAGATTTCAACTTTTCAGGATTTTTTTCTACCCTGCTTTGTGACAGGCAGAAGTTCATTCAAACAAGCAACATTCAATTCAGTCAGTTTCTGCAAAAGATTGGTTTGATGGTATATACAGTACTGAGTAAATAATTAGTTATTTATTTTTTTCTGTCAAACACTACAGGACATGAATGGAGCAAAGCTGTAAAGTTAGTCTCTCTTGCCTGCCACTAAAATGTTTTTGTTTGAAAGAACAAGTAATCTCATCACTATCTAAATACTTATATAATACTTGGAAACAAGTCATATAGAAAATAATTATTTTGAATTAATAAACACATAATTTTATATATTATCGACCACCCTTTTTCATTCTATTATTTGTAAAAAATATGCACTTGGAAGAGTGTTTAAGTTTCTTCTTAATCTTCTGCGTTGTTAAAGATAAAATCCAAATAATGAATATTTTCATCATCTAATAAGATCCTGACTTTGCTGGAAGCAGAAATCTTAATTCTGAAAACCCATAACCATTGCTTTAGTATTATTCCCTCTGGGTGTTGTGTCCTCTCAGTATACTTGCAGTTAGTGTTTTAAGACAAAATCATACCAAAAAAATCCCCACCAGACATAGTTTGTCCTTCCTTACCTTCAAAGAATAGATTGCATCTAAGAAAATATCTTCACATTTCTAAGTTGCATGTGTATGTCTGTATTTTCATTTTCTAATTTGAAAAAATAACCCTAACTCTTCTGACTACAGAGACTATGAGAACATTTTGGGCATATATTCCCAGACCTATTTGTGATATATATTTCACACAAAGGATGTGGTCTTTTCAAAAGGAAATAAAAAAGCAGACTGAGCCATACACATTAAAGATCATAGCTTTCCTACAAACCAGCAAGTTTTAGTTACTATACAAGTTGTGTGTAATTTTATTTCTTGCAGAAAGCTATATCAGATATATGGGAAACTATATCATATAATGGAATTGTTTTACGTAAGACCAGTTATGTTGAAAGACATTTTTTTTTTTTTTTTTTTTTAATGAGGAGTAGCATTTGGTTTTAGAGAGTCTTCATGTGATGGCTTCTGCAACCCTACTGGAATGTTATGGTTTCTACCAAAGCAGAACGAGGATTGGTGGTATCTTCATTTTCTTTTTCAGGAAACCAAGCAACTTTTAAAGAAATACAGGTCCTATTAATTCATGTTCTGACAGGACTTCTGGTAACTTCGTGCTGTAGTTTTGCTTAGCCCTGATGGGATATTTCATTGCTGTGTTTGCTAATGCAGCAGCAGTCAACAGTTAAATGTTATTAAAAACTTCATTGATGTAAATAGATAAAGACTCAGAGTAAGGACTTGACAGAAAGAAGGGTTTCCAGACTACCTACCCTCTCCGAAACAACCATGTTTTCTTGTATTCAATTCCAGCTGCATTGATCTTCTCCAGAGCCCATGTAAGTGTTCAGTGTTTTGATGCTCCTAACCAGTCATTCCTCTAAAGATGCAGTTCACAAGACTATTCTTCATTAAGTTTCATATTCACTGGGAAAAAATCAGCTTTAAAAGTAGGGAGATTGAACATGAGCCTTTTCAAATAGACAGACACACTAAATTATCTTATTTAAATTATCTTATCTAAATTATATCCAAGGTATACGGCAGAGTACAATATACTTAAGTTTGTATTGTAATCCAGCATTGTTGCTCAAAGTGCTATTTTTTTATTGGACAAGAACAGAAAAAAGCAATCTGACAATGGGCTGATCAAAAACCTTGTATTTCTTGGAATGACAGGACCAAATATTATGTGGTATTTTAATATTTGTTACTGTTAGGGTTGCAATACAGGTATTCAACTTTCTAAATAAATTCCATACCTACTGATAACACTCAATACCCACTTCCTTGAGTAACGAAACCTTAATAAACATCTAAAAATGTTTTTCCAGGAAAATATGGAAAACATTTTCTATGTACAAATATGTACATATATGTAAATTTCTACAAACAAGTATCTGAGTAAAAGTGTGGAGTCTAGCTTCAGACAGTGGCACTTAAAACTTTTTTCTAAATAAATACTTGTCCTGTGGAGATTTTTGATGGAAGCTTTACTGGTGCTAAGCCATGTGCTGAAGTTTACAACCATATAAATGGTTTGCATTCATTTCAGTAGGGAACCCTTGCTCCTCACAGGAAACTGTCCAAAGAAGACAAAGAGCGAGAGGCACATCGTATCTGTAACATACAGCTCAGCTTCCAAACAGTTTCATATGCTGGCTGTCCGTTTGTAACTCCTGCCTTGCTCAGCTTAAAAAAAAAGACATGCTCAGACAACTGCTGACATGGCACATTAAAAGGAATAGAAATACAATACATCACTACCAAAAAAGTCCTCACAGTATTCTGGGTGCTTTTCTGAGGGCGTGATCCAGTATCTAGCCCAATCTGTATGAAAAATTCAAATGGCCTGTGGAAAACGAAATAAATAATTTTTAAAACAATTCAATAAAGTTGTAAATGAAATCTACATCTTGAGGAAGAACAATGTGTGGTTCAGATTTGCAACTTTTAATGCAATCCATCCATCACAGCTCAATAAATGGTTTCCCTGCTTGATCACAGCAGAACTTCTTTGTTTCTTTTTCATCACAGCTAGGGTTTTTTCCCCATTCCATTAAGAAAGCTTAATTCCAGCATGGGCCATTTGATTTTTTTCTTAGTATCTTTAAACCTCTGTTGTAATGGAATCACCAGAAGTACTATCTAATCATATTGTTCTGCTATTTATGAAGGTTTATAAATCTCTCTGCAAGTAAATTAGTGTCATATCAAACTGCTGAGCCTGAATTTTTCTGGCAGAGACAGATATAGGGCACTTTTTGTTAGCAAGAAACAGCAAAACCTGTTTTAAAAATAATTCCTCTCTTCCCTCCTAATCTAGTGTATTCAGGAGTAGGACTCTTATGTGGGTCATCTACTACTAGGATGAATTCCTTAGGCTTCTGTTTCACAAAGTGTATGTCAACTATTCATTTTAACATATTCACTACTGCTAATTTAAAAAACCAAAGCATTTAAACTCCTGCTAATATAATTATATTAAATCTTACTGCTTTTCACACACACAAAACCCCCCCAAAACTCTTCAATTACTTTCAACAGAAATCAGCTTCAGTGAAAGAACATTTAGTGATACAATAACAGCAAATCAAAAGCTTTTCTTACACAGTGAAGCCCATAAAGGAATGTGCAATCCCAGATAATAAGACAAATTTGCAGAAGTGCTCACTGGGCCACTTTGCATCCTTTACCAGCAGTGCTGGCTGAGAGGTCCCAGTCAAATAAACCTTCACAAATGTGATCCCCATCTCCAAGAAATGTTCAAAGAAGAAGGTGAGAAAGTATAACCCTGTCAACCTGACCTCAGTGCAGGGGAAGCAGATCATCTTGATGCCATCTCTCAGTATGCCCAGGATAAGCAGGAGTTCAGCCCCAGACAGCAGGGGATTATGGAAGGCAGGTCCTGTTTGATCAACCTGATCTTCCTGTGACAAGGTCACCCACTTAGTGGTTAAGCAAAGGTTAATGGTGGGAATCAGTGGTCTTTAAGGCCTTTTCAAACATAAACAATCCTGTGACATAGGATTCTTCAAGCTGCTTTTAAATAACTATTTAAACTTGCTATTTACACATTAGTATTAAGTGTTTGCTGTCCAGTCTCTTCCAAACCAAATCCTAGAATTTTTTTTTAATGTGATATGCAGACAATTAACTCTAAAATAATATACTCAGACATGCAATACATACCATCAATCCCAAGTTACTTTCACACATGTTAAAAATTCACTTGGCTGTTGTAGGAAAATAATAAGCTTCAATGGACTGCTTTTGCAAAGAAGTAGAATGTTTAGGTTTAGATTGGGTTTTAGTTCTGAGTCTTTATGTTTGCTTTGGATTTTAAATGTCTGATAATGTTCTGGTGTGTTTTGAGTTGCTTGACTTTATATCAAGTTATGAAAACTCTACAGTCACTTCTGAAAATACTTTGCCAGCTTTCACATGGTTTTTATATCTAATGTTTTGCCATTGTGCTGTTGGAATAGGCAGTCCTGCTTTACATGGCCTTATAGATACCTTGAAACGGATCCTGTTTTACAGGATACTTGAGAATTTTTCAGAGTACTCAAGTTCCCTGACATTAAAGTTTTTAATGACACTTGGGCATTCTTTCAACATATGATCAAGGGTGAGTAATCAGAACAAGAATATTTATGACTACTTCAAAACAGGGGTTAGAGAAGAAATATAATTTGAAGACACTAGATTGGCAGGGTTGAACCAAGTCTACTAAAAAGTGATTAAATCCCTCCTGATAAGGAGGAAAAGACTAGAAAGACTTCCATTTCAATTTTTAAACTGTTAAGTTCAAGCCCAGATCTGAATAAGTTACAGATAAATTTGCCTGATGTATTAAGTTCTGTTGTCAAGGCTTACTAACAAAAAAAATGCTTCTTTTGCTCAAAAAATATATTTCCACAAAAATTATTTTAAGTTGTGTACTATGCTGATCAATCACAATAATAGTCCAAGGTTTTCTTTTGGGTAATTCCTGCTAGCATTAAATATTCTTCTAGCACTTGTCTTCAGGGGTGCTGTATATTCCATATACTTCTTTGTTACTCAAAAGATATTCCAGATCATTTTGTTTCACTTCTCTTCACAAAGCTCTTTAGTAACACAGTACTGAATATTTAAGTTTTCTAATCTGATTATTCAACTGATTATTCCACATACTAACACTGAGGGATGTCTATTATATGGAGAGAAATAAACCAGTTTATGTGTATTAATCTTAAATTCTTTATATATCCAATCTCAGAACTTTTACCTCAGTTAAAGCCATTTCTTTAGATAAAACACCCTGGTAATCATTTCCTTTATTTTGAACTTAACTAGGCTATCACAGGAGATAGTTAATGAAAATAATGCCATTAACTTAAGCTGAAGTAGGGCCAGGCATTGTATATTTGAAATGAAGCAAAAAAATGTCTCACAACATTACTAATTATACCCTGGGGAAGACTGCATCTGAAATTCATAAGCAATGAATTCTGCTTTATATTTCAGCCATTAAAGTTATGCCGATTAATAAAAAAAAATAAAATAAAAAAGTTTGAAACTTTCTACAATAACTTCAGCATTTCAATTACTTCTCTAAGTGTGAAAGATGTGCAATACTGGGTGCATCTGTTTGATGTTGGTGTTTTATTCCCTTCCTAGATCCCTGAGGGAGATTTCAAATTCTGAGGTAGCAAACTTCACCACATTGTGCCTGCCACCCACCTCAGTTGGTGGAAAGTACTTTCATATGCTACATTTACTCTAATGATTATGAATTCTTAATAACATGAAAATCTATTCTATTTAGGAGACAAGGTGATTATATGCAAACCCAATGCATTCAATGTTTGCAATTTTATAAAGCAAAACCATTCCTTCAGTGTATAGGTCCTAAAACAATTTTTTTTTAAAAAAAACCACACCATTTGTTTTTCCTGCCTCTAATGCCAGGGAATGGCTCTGCTTAACCCCTTCAGTTTTGTTAGTCCTGAAGACAAAGACATATTTTCAAAAATATGAGCAAAGGATTTTTATCACAAGAAGTTTTCTATTGAAAATTGTGGGATCTGTAATTACTTTGGTACTTCTGAAGCATTACACCTTTTACAATAAAGCCACCAAATCTGAAGAAAAGTATACTACTAAACTATGCTAAAGCAACTACAGATTTTCATACAGTTGAGGAAAACAAACACAGTAGAACCAGACCTCCCATTTAGAAATTCAAAATGGCTCAACTGATAAAACAGGAAAATAACAGTAAAAGTTTCTGTATTGCTTTACCATCCAAAGCACAACAGTTTCTGATACTGAGAAATGAATTAATTGCAGTTGCAGAGGAGCTGATTATCCAAAACTACAAAATGTTACAAATGAAGAATGAAAAATGAGAACTACAGCTAATATGAGACATTATTAATAAATATAACAAAACAGGGCCCATAGCAACAAAGGTGCAGTTGACCCAAGCTACTGGAAATGACGTGTTATGGTCATGATTAATATTAACTAAGAGAGGGCTAGCAATTGAAAGAATAGTACTAAAGTTCAGTAATGACTCTCATGAGGTCTCTTCCTTCAGGACCAGAATAGTAACTACAACACACTGATGCAAAAGTGTGAAAAATTAAAGCCTGGGAAATTAAATAATCACATCAGAGCAACCTGTCCACTAGTTGGGCTCTTCTCAGATTGAGGGTGGAAAACAGAATGGGGTGATGAAGGTGAGCAGTCATTGCTTTTTTTACCAGTCCTGTAAGCCTAAGGAGCAGGACAGTCAGGCCACTTGCTAAAATACTATTCAGGTTATTGGAGAAGGACACAGGTGGGAAACAATCTGACCTTTCATCTTCCAGTGACTATTTTAGTGATTATTCAGTGAATTCCACAATTGTACCAGAATGTTCAGATATTTCAGAAAATGTACACATCTAGAATAGCCCTTTCTTTGTGTCTACTAGTTCAACTTGTGTGAGTGGAAAAGCCTTGCTGTTTGATTCTATACTATGAGTCCCTGTCTCAAGTTTCTGGCTGGGTTGTATGCTGTCAGTTGCTCAGGTATCAGTGCTGCCAGTCAGTGACAGGAGTTGTCACAAACCAAAGTGCCTTTTGCTAGAACGTGTCATTCATCTCAAGTAACATGGCTGTGAAGGCCAGGAGACCATGCAGTGCAGCTCACCTAATGTGCTAGGACAGCTATGCTGCTTCTGGTACCCAGTCTGATACATGATCCAGCTTTTCCTCAAAGGTTTTAGCCAGAAGAAGGGTCACAGTGCAAACTAAATAAAAACGGACAGTTTCCTTCAGGGGAAAAAAAAAAACCAAAATAAAACAAAACAAAACAAACAACCAAAACCAAAAAAAAAAAAAAAACCCACAAAAAAAAAACCCCAAACACTGATCAAGAAATTACATCTGTTGTTTGCCAGTTTCAAAAGTTTGGGGTTTTTTCCATAGGGTAATGTATATTACATTTTGCTTACTTATGGGGATATGTTATAAAAACTACAGCTGCTAATTTGCAATATATACTGACATAATGGAAAGTGGCAAACATTCACTATCTTTCCATATTCATGTTGTGTCACATAATAGTTTTGAAATTGTGATATAACAAACAAATAAGAGATTATGGCAGTAAAATTTTGCAACCTGGCTTCAATGAGAAAAAACAAATAAATAACAGACTGAGCATAAGGGACTAGGGTATTTTAAGTTTTAGATTGCTGTTTACAATACTGAAAACAGAAAAAAAATGGAGCAACATTTAAATTCATTGCATTTCAGATGCTTTTAGCTCCAGAGAACTTTAAAAGCAGTACTTTATCTTGAACTTTACTCACATTGACACTAATCTGAGTTCACATGCAACCTCATTCATCAATTTCCCTTTTAATCTTTTATTACAAAAATTGCATCTAATAAGTGTAAACAAATTACTGTCCTTTCAGGTTGGTTTTATTATATCTTATAAAACCTTTATTGTTTATTTGGTTACGGAAGTTTGATTTTACAATATTTCTTTCAACTGAAACTATAGAAATATTTTCTGAAACTTGCATTTTCTCTGACTTCCTTTTAAAAAGGAATCAGTCCTTTATATTTTTCATTTTGTTCAACTGATTTTTTAAACTTCTGTGAACTTGAGCTTCATTTCTTGCAAACAATCCCATCATATACAATATGCAATTTATTCAGTAAAAAAGTATGTTCTACTTTTCTAAATCAGATGAATGAATTTGAAAGGAAAGCAGTAATCCTAAATCAGTTCTGTATTTAAAGTCTTAAGTACATAGAGTGACATTTTTCTGAAAACAGATATTGTGTGCAAAACTAGGGACATACTAACTCACAACAAATTCTTCTCTTTGTTAAAACATTAGACCTACATTAAACTGTTCAAGAAATGTAGTTTAAATGTCCTTCTCTTTCAGATGAAACAGACTTTAAATCATCTTTGCATAAGGTTATGGGGAGTTCAGCAGTTGCAAGGGGCTGTGGATGTTAGATTGTCACAGTTCTTCAAAGCCGCACTGATCAGAGCCTCAGAAGTAATTTATCCATGCCCTGCTGATTCCAGGAGCAACCAGCTCAAGACGCATCTCTTTTCTATGTTCATACGTCAAGATCTACAAGAGGGTCTCTAAATCAGAGTAATCCACCCTTGTCTGTACTCGGGGCATCTGACAACAGTTTAGATAGTGTCTTTTATCTTAAACTCATTTTATTCTCTTGCTGCATAGAAAAGACTATGGTCACCCTCCTATTCACTAATGAAAGGTGCATTTGGGGATTGGGGATTTTGTCTTCCACAAGTATGTAAATGTTGCTCTGTTATACTGAAAGTCACTGCTCTCACATAAGTTTTTTTAATAAGGTATAAAATTCTTCTCTCTCCCACTGAAGACTCCTTACTCTTCTTAAATGTTCTTTCTCTGAAATTTCTGTTTCTGTATAGCTGATTATTGCGGCCCAACCACAGCAGCAAGCTACTAGGTGACCAAGCAGGTGCTAATTGATGCCTACAATAGTTTTTTAGGCAAATGATAAGGGACAAAAAAAAACCCAAGAGAAAACAGACAGATGGTAAGGAAGATGCATGCAAGTTCAAATGTTACTGATTTAATTTAAGATTTATAGGTAATTGTAATTAAATTAATAGCCCTGCAGGAACAATGACAACATACACCTGTCAGATTTTACTCAAAAACAATGCATATACATTATTCCAAAGATGACAAATGGATCAGGTTGGATTGTCACTTCATTTTACTTTATTTAGCTCTGGAGCAAAACACCGTTACATCAGGAACATCTAACAACTTTGGTGGCAACAATCCAGCATAGAGTTTGACCTACAATGATCAAGTCTGCGTACCTCAACCTTCATCATATGCTCAGAACTCCAGTGATGTCTTTCAGACTCACAATGGACATGTGACCTGGAAATGTACTGCAGGTGTTGTCACTCATAGTTTGGATAAAGTGGAAAAATACCAAGTTGTTACCAGACTTTTTAAATTTTGAGGTAAAAATTATTTTAATGCTTCCCAATCTGTCAAAATGTTTCAGGAAGAAACTCCTGCTGAAAGTGACAAATACATTGATGCTGTCACACAAACTGGAAAAGAAATTTGTAAAAGTTTCCTGTCCTTCAGTAGTTTGTAGGTGAAGACTGTTAATCTTAAAAATTAAAAGTACTGTATTTGATGGAGTGCACAGAATAGATATGGAACTGTCTCCTGAGAGTTTCCTACCTTCGCAGTTTAAAGCACAGTTATAATCTTGCAGAGCACTCCATTTGGGCTCAAATAATCTCTTATCTTACAGCATTTCAAAGTCTAACTGACTAACAATAACCTTACAGAGTTTTAGGCAGTGAACACACTCATCACCTCTTTCAACAGTAAAATGCCAAGCCAAAAAATCAACTGTCAGTGCAATTTCACTCACTTCCAGGCATGCATTTGATATGCTGTAAAATGCCAGAAGGGAGCTAAATTCTCTCACGATTTTTAAAGGTCTAGCTTTTAATATTGTAACTAAAATTTTCTTATCTTTTTCCTCATTAGTCATATAATGCTCCAAGGATCTCAAAGCACAGTTATTTTATGAAAGTCTTTACATAGGAGGCCAACATTACATCAGTGTCTTAAAGCACAAGTTGCCCTCAGGCTCAAGATCTCCCTTGCTGCAGTTCTGGAAGATGCACCTGATTCATACCTTTTGCACTGCCATTAGGTGGGATATAGAAATGTAGAGAGCACAGACTTGCCCTGCCAAGAAGATGGCCAGATGTTGTCACAGATATGGGATATCCCAGATTGTTTTATCCACTGTTAAACCTGGCAGTCAAGCAAAAAGTAAAGGCCAGTTCAATCACTTATATGGTCTCAATTGCATGATCCTGCAGTTCATATATTCGCAAGAGTGGCACAAAACAAAGGGAAAAGAGTTCATAAATCAGAATGGCAGGTTTATTTCCACTTTGCACTTAGACTGATCACTGTAAGCATTTCCTTACACAACAAATCCTGGTTTTAATTCAGTGTGCTTCTAATATTTCTCTGCATCTTTGCATTTTTAAGCTAGAATACCCCCTTAACAGTGCTTTACAAAAGGGTTTTAGCATTGCTTGTGATGCTCCAAAACTTTCCTCGACAATGTCTGCTGCTGTTCCCCTGGTATAAGAAATTATTGCTTTAATTGTGTGCTCAACATATATTTGTGTCATTTAAATACAAAGCAGTAGTAAATAAGCGGAACATACCTGAAGAGCAAATATTGTCTATGAAGGACAGACACTTGAAAGCTGCTAACAGAAGTGAAAAATGAAAATGAAGATAAGCAAGTCCAGTAGCATACCTGCAAAGGACAGACAGAGCTGTTGTCAAACAAGTTGCAGTACTGAAAACACACAGAAAACAATTTCATGCAATATTTTGCATTCAGCCACTCATGTTTCTCTCATCACTCTACTGACAATAGAGCTAAATGCTTATTAACCAGTTATCACAGAAAAAAAAAAATGGATAAAGTTTTTCTTAGGAAAAAAGGTGGAGGAAAATTTTATGAGAGATCAGGAGCCCCAGTATGTAGCTGGTAAATTAATGCATAACCATAAATTCATACAATCCCTTTTAAAAAATATTTCAAAATTACCACATTTGAAATGCAATAAACAATTTTCAGTACTTTAATACATATAATGAAATACTATAGTACAAGCTATTTATAGATCTCTTTTGACTTCCTCCTTTTCTGATGGATCTGGATCTAAAGCCTGTAGTTAATACCCCTGACAGTGTTGCAGCCATAAATGCAAGAGGGACATTTCACAAAAACCTTAAAAGAAAGGCCAAAAGGTTTGTAAAGAAATTTAGCTGAAAAAAAGATCAGGATCTCACCTAAGGAATTGAATCTTCAGGATGTGTTACAGTAAAATGCCATTGATTCTAACTGTGTGGCACTGCTTTTGATTTGCAGATTAATTACTTCTATTCCTATAGCTGGAGCTACGTATTTGCACACCCAGACTTTTTCTGAGAGTACTGAGAAATGACCTATGTGACATTTGCAGTAGAAAACTCATTTATTACATCAGGGTCTTGGAGATAAAATCTCATATTGTGAGGTGATGAATAATGTATTTTATTTAATTTAATCATCTTAAGGAAACAAATAGCAAAGAATATTAACTCCAGTCATGAGAGACTGAGGGGTGAAAAATACACAGCATAGACTGAAGAGAATTGTGTGTAATGAACACAATGAAAGATGAAAGGAAAGTATGAAGTTTGAATACATGGCATTACAAACATCATTTACAGAGCTTGAATTTTGACAAAGTGGACTGTAGAATATGCACATGACTTTCTTTATTTTTATTAAATTAATTTTTAGACAGTGATAGCACTATAAAATAACTTTCTTGGAACACTGAAATATTATTTTGAAAGTTGCAAGGGCTCAACATGATGATAAATGTTTGAACCCCAACACAATTTTTCTCCTTGATTATATTATTACTCTTTTAAAGGAAGAGGAAAGCTTCTTCTATTGTAAAACAATCAATTTTAGTACTGTGGACTATCTTGTTCTGCATCATACCCTGCTGGAATGAACAGGGAATGTTCTAGTCAATCATGTGTCACTTGAATCCTAGAGGAAATTTCTGTCTTTATGAATCAAAGGATTAGTGAAACCAGTAAGGACACCAAGAAACACAGACGGGAGTGAAGAAATGTAATTCTCAGTAGACATAATCCACTCTTGACTCAGGACTTCTATTTCAGCTTGCAGTCCTTTCAGTGAATAACATGTGTTTGATACATCCATTAGATTGTCAGCTTCTTTACTAGAAACTTTCTTTAATGGACATTTTTTCTTGTTCTGAAGAACCTATATGGATAGATTATGATGAATAGGATGAGATACAATGAACAAAGACGCCAGTTAGATGTTCTAATTTGATTAATACTTACATCACTCAATCGGAGTCCAAGGCATTTTAAACCCTATTAAAGAAGACAAATGGGTTTCTCAGGAGTCTGAGATCCTAAAAGCAAGATTTTCAAGTGTACAAGTTTCTGCCTATTTTTCTGGTGATAAAATCCCACTAAACTGTTAAACTTTGAGCTGGCTGCTTTCTAAAAAATATTTTTCTTTTTATTTAGATCAGCTATAGATGTATATGTATAGATATACATATTTCAGTCTTCCACCCTTTATCCATTTCCTAAGTTTTTTCACACCCCAGTTTGCAATAAATGCTTATATTTTATACACTTTCAAATGCAGAATTTATCACATTTTTCTGTCTCTTAACTAGCTTTATATGTAAATCAACATTGATGCATTAGAATAAGAATCCCTGGACAGAAATGCAGGCAAGTGTTCTACCTCAAGCCCCCAGTGTGACATTGGAAGGCCAACCCTGTCCTGGGGAGCATCGGGCACAGCATCACCAGCTGGGCAAGGAAGGGGATTGTCCTGCTCTGCCCTGCACTCAGGTGGCCTCACCTAAAATCCTGTGTGCATGTTTGGGTGCCACAACATAAGACATTGAACTATTGGAGAATGTCCAAAGGAGGGCAACAATGATGGTGAAGGGCCTTGAGGGGAAGACATACAAGGAGTGGCTGAGGTCACTTGTTCTGTTCAGCCTGGAGAAGAGGAGACTGAGGGGAGACCTCATTGCAGTCTGCAACTGAGAGGCTACAGAAGGCTGAGTGGCAGGCACTAATCTCTTCTCTGTGGTGACCAGTGCCAGGAACAAAGGGAGTGGCCTGAAGCTGTGTCAGGGCAGGTTTAGGTTGTATATTAGAACGAGGTTCTTCACCCAAAGGGTGGCTGGGCACTGGAACAGGGTCCCTGAGGAAAATGGTCACAGGATCAAGCCTGATGGAGCTCAAGGAGTGTTCAGAGAATGATCTCAGGCACCTGGTGTGACTCTTGGCAGTGGTGCTGTGCACATCCTCTTTAAATAAGATTTATTAAAGATCTGTTAATCTTATATTTGCATTTTATGCCAATAAATATCAGGTTTGGCTAAAAAATAAACAAAATATCTTCTTCTTTCATGTTATTTAGTCTGTAGAACAGTTTATGAACCTTTTTGATTTTACTATCCATCTCATTATCATCTTTCCATCATCTGGCTTTCATTCTTTATCCAACATAATTATAACCAATTATTGATACCTTGTTATTTGAAAAAGAGTTTCCACTTTATTCCTACCATTAATTCTCTCTTGTACTCTCACATGCACGCTCAGATATGCTTATAAAGACGTGAATAGGATGTGAAGAAGGTACTGTTAGATGCATCCAGTAGATTTTTAGTCTCCCTTATAGCCAACTCCTATGGAACACAGAGATAAGCTCCAGGACAATTTATAGTCTTCCTTTGAAATCTGTAAGAAACAATAAGCTACTCATCAGAGAGTTCCACAATATAACCACCATCAGAGTACACAGAGTGATTCAGACCCTAAAGAACAGGGAATGAAGCAAGCCTCCACAATCTAGTACTGCCCCAAAAAGATCCACAGTTTCTCACTCACTAGGAAATCGTGCATCAAATTTTAGACACAAAACAACAATTTTCTTCAGTAAAGCAGTGAGAGAGACAGAGTATCACAAATATCCCAGGTTTCTCAAACTGTTATTATTTTCTATTACATTTTAAAAGATTTCCCTCAAGGCTTCTTGTTTTTATTATTAGTATTTCATTGTATTCCCAAGTGCGTAAGAATTTAGGCTGGCTTCATAACATGTTTCTCAGAGTTTATTCTTTTTTTTCTTGAGCATTTGAAATATAAGCACAGCAAAAATTGTAAATCCCTTCCTCCACCATGCTCTGGCAGTACCTCAGCAAGAGAAATAGAGGAAAGTTGTCTGGTTATCAAGAGAGAAAGGAACTACAGTAATCCAGCTGGATATGAAGGCTGTAGCAATGAGGTGCAACAGTGTTGGCAAAGGTGTGCAGAATGTGTGAAAGTTGACAGCTCTTCTATCAGAGCTTAAGGAACAGGAAGGACACAGGAAGTATGGGCAGTGGATAGCACATCTATAGTGGAGAAAAATAAATACGCAGTTAAAGCAGAAAAGAAAGTTCGTTATATAGGAAAATCAAATCTACCAAAGGAAAGAGAAAAAATGGGAAGGAGAAACATTGCAATATAGAAAGAGTGAACAAAAGTGAGGAATCTGAAAATCGCAAAAAAATTTCCATCAATTGAGTTTTATTCCTACAGACACCATGAGAAGCTTTGATCCAGACAGATCAGAAATCATACATTTTGGATGAGATCCTCATAGTTTGTCATTATTTGCTAGATATGCAAATTGAGGAATCAAATTATATTATTTACAGTTTCCCCCTGGTGTTGCTTATCTTAATATTGGTTTTGATAGCACAATTGAAGTATGTCAAAGGAATGAAAACTGGAGATTTCTTAAACAGCTACCGATTTGTTCATATGCAAATTAAATACTTAAAAAAAAGCTTCTATCTGAAAAACAAAATACCATGACTGATAAACTGGTAGTGTTAATTCAGTAACCTTTGGATTTCAGCAGGAAAATTACTTTCTAAATGTGAAGTCCTCCTTCTGTCGCACCTTGGATAGAAAGAAAAAATATTCAGACAGAAGAAATTAGTTACTTATCCATCCCTGACAGCAGCAATGTGTTAAGTTGATTTTAGCATTTGTCAAAAGAATGAAAATAGGATGGTACCATTCTCCGAAGCTGATGATCTGAAAACTACTAGTGGATCTCCCTGGCTGATCACCCAAGACATAAATACACTCTAAAAAATAATTTTTCAAATATAAGTGGACCTTAAAGAACAGACTGATATGACTTAGACCAGAGACTGTAAAAAGAAATATGTGCTCATGTTGCTGAGCTTTATTAATTACTAAAAGGATGAATGTACTATAATTACATGGATTTACATTAAAACAATAACTAAATGGATTTACATTAAACCAATACCTTATAATAAGAACAGGACAGAGCAGAATATTCCCCATGTTTCTGTTGTCCACAGAGTAACTTTTGTGGCAAACTGATAATGACGTACTAGTGATTTTCCCTTGTCTCTACCTGCTTTTAAAAAGTTACATGTTGCTTTATTTATATTAGTACTCAATTATAATTGCACATGTAGTAATGTCAACTGGTAGCTGAGATGATCTTTCTACTAAGATGGAATCTACGTTAGAAAAGATTTTAAGCCACTTTTGCTAAGAGTGGGCAACACCATTGCAAAAGAACAAAACCCCAAAGACTCCTGGCTATCCAGGACACCACTCTATCTGTAGGTTTTTGTATCCTGTAAGCAACTACAAGGTGTTCTTTGGTAAATCATATTTTCACAGAAGGACCGTCGACAAATAAGAGCTTATTTTTGCTTAAGCCCTTGTCTCTGGTAATTAACTGTGAAAACTTGTCACTTTTTAAAGTTCTTCTGACAAAATATGGAAGAGAGAGGCTCTAAACTGCTTCCTAGTCAGTGCTGGTTTTAGATTAAAATACATATTTTCCTGTTTCCATCAGTCAAAGTGACAAGCAGTGAAAATACAAGCAGACTTAACATTGCTAAGATGCTATTCCGTAGTTGCTCATGCTCAGATAATGTATTCCAGAGAGAAAAACTAAGATTAGAGAGAGATTTATATTTCTCTCCCGACTGCCCCCCAGGAGTAGGTATAGTAGACAAAAGATGATGAAATTCTATCAATTACAGGAAACTACATAAGCCAGCCTTACTCATACAAAAAAGGGTATTTTCAAGGAATTATAACTTTTCTTTCTAACATATGAACTGAGATAAATAGCTATAATAATACTCCAGACCTTGCTGAGATAGATTGTCTAACTTTTCTCATTTGAATTTTATCTAGCACATAAATATTGATCATTTTAATATGTGACTCAATTACAATGCCTCTTAATATCTGTATTTCTATATTCTGGATTATGCTGCAAAATGTCTTCTCTGTTGTATGTGGCCATGAAATATTTCACAACCTTTCCTTCAGAATACTTTAGGTTGGATAGGCTTCTCAAAGCTTATCTCTGATTCAAGGTTTGTCAAGGGGAATTGAGCTATTTTTTAGTGGATTTCTGAAAATTTCTACCAAATACTCTGTTTCTCACCATGTCATAAGTTACTGGAAGAAACATCAGTCAAAATGCAACAGCAGAGCTGAAATGTAAAGTTTTTTCACTAAACTGCTTCTTAAGGACCAGCCTATAGAGAAGTTGAAAATAAAATGTATAAAGCTTTTGTGAAAAGCACAGAATTGGCCCTATTGATCATCCTCAGTGATTTAGAGCTATTTATTTGGATTCACCTCGGTCATGTCCCAATAATATCTTCTTTTTTTTATGCTACATATTTTAATAAATGTCCATAGAAATATATGAGCAAGTTGCTCAATAAACACAGCACTGCCTTCACACAGATAAAAAATAAGCTTTTTAGTCCAAACAGGCTGAGTTAGCTGAGATGAAATAATATAAAAGGTAAATGAAAAGGGTATAGATGGAATTCTATCTCCTATTAAAATACTCCAGGAAACAGTTTCTGTCCCAGAATAAAATGAATTATTTGAACTGCAGGCTGAACTGAACTGTCAAAAAGGCCAGTTCACTCATCCTTATCTAAAGAGAGTTGTTTGCAAGCATTTCAACCTTTGGTGAACAGCCTGATGCAGTATGAATCAAAAGGTGTGTGGTTTCCTTAGATGTGAAAGATGGAGTTTTTTGCTGAAACTGTCTGATATTCATTTCAGCCTCAAACTGCTGGTAATAGATTGCCACTAGCCAGTAAAAAGTTCACTATAAAGAATTATATGTCCTTTCTGTCCTTGGTCACAGTTTCTGTGTTATCTACAGTTGGCAATTTTCTCATGTGTTCTTCAGAAGGTCATTCAAAACTCTTTTACTTGGCAAGATGATTGGGATCTAAAAATATTATGATCTCCAGGCATTTAGCATTAGT